AACATTGGATGCTTCAGATTTTTTTTAAAGAATTAAGTAGTTATACAAATACCGTTGGCAACTCTTCTGCCTTCCTCGGAAAATACATACCAATGTGAGGTATGTATCCTTCGGAACCTAAATTATTATGTGTTTAGTATAGATGTACTTATCCATAAACAAGATCGTAATTGTCTCGTTAATTTTTAAATGCGTGTAAATTGGTATCCTGCAATTCCCTTTACTCCGTCAACAATATGCTCTTGATACTTTATCCAGGTTGTTACCTGTTTAGTGCACGATGGGGAGAGGGTGAGAACACACCACAAACACACGCGCACGCACACGTGCATGCACACACACACGCAGTGCATTCATCTTAACTGACATCATCCCTTGTCCATATGCCACTTTCTGTCTTTCCCCACCAACCGGCGTCCAGGTTTCCCCCATCTTTCTCTGCGGTCGGCGTCCCTCTGACAGCGCCTGGTACGCATGCGCAAGCGGCTTCCGGTCGGCACCCAGCAGCTGGGCCGGCGGGTCGCAGTCCGGGTCCCGTGGCCTTCGCTCCACATGGCAAAGCTGCTTTCCAGTGTGGACGCTCAGTTTCCCACCGGCAGTGAGCGTGTCAGTTCCATGTTCTCGCTAAAATGTGTGATACTTTTTAAGTTTTGCTGCTCTGCGTTTATGGGCATTTCGTGGATAATACCAAGTAAACATTTTTACAATGCCTAAGTCGTTGCAGGCATGTTCCCTGTACTCTGTGTATAATAGTTCAATTCACAGGACCTCTTCGAGAAGTTACTTTTTAAAATCCCTACGCTGTAGTCATGGAAACTGGGGCGTCGAGAGGTTATAGGATGTGCCCCAGGCCACAGGGCTCGAAAGCTGTAGAGCTGCGCGCTTGAACCCAGGCAGCCTGGCGTGAGTGTCTGTTCTCGCTCCTCGGCGTCAGAGGCCTAACGAGCCGTCGCCTGGAGGTCTCGGGGCGTGCGAGTCCAGCCCTCGTTCACTGGCGTCTGCGTCGCACGGGATGCCACAGAATCACCTCCGACTTTTCATTTTGGCTTTGAGATCCCTGTTGTTTCTGAAGCCCGGACATTTCCACATCATTTTTAAGCACAAGAAAGTATTTGAAAATTTTAATTGTCTTAGTAGCTCAGGCTGCTCTTACCAAATACCATAGACTAGGTAGCTTAAACACAGGCGTGAATGTTTCTCAGTCCTGGAGGCTGGGAAGTCCACAATTAAGGTGCAAACTACTGGACTCATTATTTCGAATAGCTAGTATTCTGTCATCATTTAATCTATTCAAGAGAACTACCTAAAAATGGTAAAAGGTAAAAAAAAAAATGAAAGAAACTCATATTATCAGTAAAGTAGCAAGAAAGTCTTGTTGCAATTCTCCCATCTCAAATTATCTTGACGAGGCTCTTCCATGAAAGAGGAAAATGTATGTGTGTGTGTATATATATATATACATATATATTTTTTTGAAGAGATATCTATACCTCTTCAATCATGCAAGCTGTGCCAAGCCCTGGAAACCTGACATGAAATGGTTCGGATGGCCAAAGGTGGTCACTAGGGACCAGGGATTAGAACCTGGTCAAAGCAGCAAATAAAAAAAATTTTAAAACCTCTTAAAAGAACCTGACAAGGGAAGCTTAAATCTTATTTAAAAGGTTGGGTTGTACTAAGCCTTGAAAAATTCAATTCTCCGGAGGACTATATCTCACTACGAGAGCTCCGTGGAAGTTTATCATGTATCCAACACCTAGACATTGGGCCTGGGAGACCGCTCGGGTCATATTTCCTCTGGATTAGCACCGAAGCTTGGAAGTGACATTTGTACGAGGCACGCTTTAAACTGTAGGGCTTTTCCAATTACAAAATGATAATTCTGAGGGGACAAAGTGCTTAGTGCAGAGAGAAGATGCCTTGATTTATGTGTCTTAGACAGCCTTCTATTTCACATAAAGTTACTTATTAGAATAAGTGCGTTTTGCTTTTCCTTTTGTTTTTAACTGAAGTTGTCTTCCGATTGGCGTTAAGGGTAGGGCATGTCATTTTTGTGTGTTTTTAATTTTTCGGTTCCACCACGTCTAAAAGAATGATTGTACAAATCCTTGTTGTTGGTGACAGCAACAATTAAATTTTGCACTTAATACAGAAACATCGCTGTGAATTGCCAGCGCCGGGCCAGGGGAATGTCTCAAGCTTTACGGACTGGCCCTTCCCTACGCAGACTCAGTGGCCCTCTCCCCAACTGCTCTGTCTCTGATGAAAGCCAGACAACAATGAAGTGAGGCTGAAAAGCTGTCCATCCTTTACTCTTGGTCTGTCAAGGTCTCTGGGATCACTGTGACGTCTCCTACCCATCCAGTTATAAAGGGTACTTTGGATGAATTAATATCTAGTGACAGCCAAAGTTGTAAACTACTTGACTCCCTTGGGTCATTTTCCCCGGCCGAATGTAATAGTCCTTTGGCCGGGGTGTGTATTTTGTGTAGTTGTAAACATGCACAGGTTCGGGACGTAATTCAGAATGGTGTATCTCTGTATTTGCATTTGTGCGCATTCAGCCAGGGTAGCTAGAGAATAAGCAAGACAGACTTGCATTTCAAGCCAAATGAAGCCTGTTAACTTTTGTCCCATTTCATAGCTGCAGGCTGGATACCTAATTGACTCATCTTTTTTTTTTGCAAATCTGCAAAACCTGCCAGCAGTGGGACTGAGTAACAGATCATGGCTGATTCACAGCAAATCCATCATCTCTGGTAGAAAAACAACTCCGAGATTTACTGAGGAGGTCAGTAGAAGGAGCGTTATACAGAGAATTCTTTCCTCTCAAAAAGAAAATAAATCTGATATCCAAACGTCATAAACTGAGTATGAAAAAACAATAAATTTCTTTACACTTCCATATATTCTATTGAATAAGCATTAGAAACCTAGCGTGAAAAAGTTCCTGGCTTCGATTCACTTGCCGGCTCAGTCCTCACCTCGCTTTTTCTTCTTCCCATCACTGCGTCTCCCGCTCCGCTCCTCTTCCCCTGCACGTCTTCTCTCTGGATTCCGAAAGTTTTTACTGAGGCCTGAAAGTCAGCATAGCCAGTTCCTGCGTTGTAGGATTGTTCTGCTCACACTCAGAGCACTTTTATCGAATTTTACAGAAAACAGTGAAACCTGGTGATTCTTAAAGTCAGGCCACTCTAGAACCACATTGAAAATCAGCGTTAACTGAAGTAATACCAGAATGAGATAAAAGTAATATTCAAACATGTTCGTTGAAATAAAATTCTAGATTTGAAGAGCCCGAGCTGAGGACCGGCATGTGAGCGGCCGACTTTCTAGAATTTAGTGCATGTCATCTGACGGGGGCAAACCACAAAGTTTAGAGCGCAGACAGTTTGGAGGAATCGTGGAAAATCGGTTGGATAAAATCTAATACAGAATGAAAACCGATGCCGAGACAGACTATTTTACACCTATACATATGTTCATTTAAAAACAGTCTTTCGATCACCTACCATGATCTAGACACTATGCTAGGCATTAGTGGTCATATAACAGACAAAATTCATTTTGGCCCTTATGCTCATGAAGCTTAAAGTCCAATGGGGGCAATAGGAATTAGCAAGACAATCGCTGCATGTGAAAGCATGTGTTCCCCATGACGAGTGCGAAGGAGAGACACACACCATGAGAGCCCATCAAGGGTCATATGGTCCGATCAGGGAAAATTGCCTGAGAAAGTCACCCTGGGGCCGAGGTCCAAGGTCCAAGGCGTGGGCCGGAGCTGGGAGCGTGGTTCCGGGGAGAGGGCAGCCCCCCAGCAAAGCGAAATCTTGAGAGTGTTTTTTTAAAACATAACTCATTGACTCAATAGTTGTTAAACTAGGATTAAAAAAAATATTAGAAGCAGCAGCTTTATTGAGGCATAATTGACCAATAAAAATTGTACGTATTTAAGATATACAATGCAATGTTTTGATATGTGTATACATTGTGAAATGTTTACTAACATATTCATCAGCTCACTTTTTTTTTTTAGTCAGAACTGTTAAGATCCACTCCATTCCCAAATTTCAAGTATATAATATAGTATTAACTATACTCACCCTACTTATACATTAGCTTTCCAGAATTTATTTATCCTGCATATCTGAAACCCTTTGCAGGGTTCTATTTCCAGGAGTGTGGCTTTGATCCTAAAGCTTATTAAGTGAAGAAAAGAGGGAAGAGCATTCTAAGAGGAGCGAGCGGCTTGTGCAAAGGCCCTCTGACTTAGGCGAGAAGCAACCTATGCTGAGTTTCATAGATCATGCCAAGGAATTCCATCTTAATTCTAAAAATATAGAAAGCCTTTGGTGGCATCTTAAGCAGAGGGAAAGAAAGGTGGAAATAGGGCTGACATCATCAGGTTTGCATTTTGGAAAGATCATTCTATCTACAATATGAAAAACAGATGGAAGGAGTAAAATGATGAAAAGTTTGATAGTGTACATAACCTTTGCCTCAGAAATATTCCTAACATGAAGGGCCTTTGTCACATTATGTAGAAGACGGATATAATAATCACTTCTCAGTTTATTCAAATGACATTTTATGTGCACCAACTATGTACTGATTGGTATTGGGGCTATATCAGTGACAAAATAAAATTCTCTGCCCTCCTAGAGTTTACATAATAGACAAAATATAAAAGTAAACGGAACAACCTCTTAGAAGCTGGGAAATGCCATAAAAAAATAGAGCAGGATAAGGGGGATTTGGGGTGAGAAGAGAGGGAAATGGCATGTAGTTTTAAACAGGATAATCAGGGTAGTTCTGTTTGACAGGATGTGTTTTAAGCAAAACTTGAGAGAAATGAAGACATCGACTCGCAGATGTCCGGGAGAAGAGCGTTCCCAGCTGAGGAGCAGCCAGTGCGGAGTCACTAAGGTGGTGGCACAGCTGTGCGTGGAACAGCTGGGAGGCCAGTGTGCCTGGCGCAGAGTAGATGTGGTGGACAGTAGAGATGAGAACAGAGACATGGCAGGGCCCAAAGCACGCTGGGCCTTGAAGGCCATTGGCGGTACTCTGTGTGAGGTCTTGAGTAGAGGGCTGTCAGGCTATGACTTCCTTTTTAAAAGGATCCCCCCGCTGTTACGTTGAGATGGGCTATGCAGCAAGGCAGGAGGGGCAGCGAGGAGACCAGGAGGGAGATCTCTGCCGCAAACCAGGCGACAGGGCGGGGGTTCGGCCCTTCGTCGCTGGACTTCTGAATGGCAGCAGTGGCTGCCAGAAGACAAAAGAGGACGATTTTTAAAAATCTGAGAAAAAAATTATTTTAATGCTAAAATAATAATACTCAGCCAAGCTAGCGATTGGGGAATATAGGAAGAATAATGACATTTTTTGGACACGGAATTAGGCACCAAAAATCACCTCCCGTGCAGCATGTCGCAGGGCGATGCTAGAGAAGGTGTCGCACCAGGACCAGAGGTGAGCCAGGAGGAAGGGTGAGCCGTTAGCTCTCAGCGAGACAAACTCTTACAATTCTGCTTGAATAAAATGCACAGCCGAGTCATGAATTTTTTTTTTCATTTATAATCCCTATCTAGTTCAACAAATGAACCTCGAAAGTATCTTCACAAAAAAAAGACATGTTCCTGTGAATATTATTGCCAAGGCAACCAATTATTAAATAATCCAACCAGTCAGATTTGCAGATCCTAGAAGTAATCTATTTCATAGAGCATAGCAACACATTCTACTGGGGGTGTCCAAAAGTTTCCTTTGTACAAAGAATACTTCCAAGAACAGTTTTAAACAAATAACGGATTAGGTAAATATCGTTTTACACAAATCTTAAGATTAGACAGGAGGGTAAAACTGAGATGTCCGGAACCTTTTTCCGGTCATCATTTTATCAAGATGAGGTTTATGGTGTGGAAGAGTGTATCTTGAGGGAGCATTCTCTCCCTTTGCTTTTTCTCAGATTTCTTTCAGGAAGGCCTGAAAATTTTGAAGTTAAGAATTGGAATTCTATTAGCAATGAGAAAAAGATTAGCAGACCCTTGAATCCCAAAGCTTACATTCTGAAAATTAAAGGGAAGAATGTTACAATTTTAAAAAGGAACTAAGGAGCATGTAATATTTTGAATCTATAGGACCAGAAAAAATAGGGAATCCATGTAAAAAGAAAAAAAAAAAACAGGAGTCTAGTGAAGAGAAACTCACATAATGGCAGGTGTGCAGTTCTTCTAGAAAATCACTGGTCCAGCTTAGGAGGAACCAAGATTATCTGATACCTTGGGTATAATAGGAAGAGATTAATAGAGTGCGAAGAGAAATCGCGATAGGTATGTAGAACTCTCAGGAACTAAAACAGGAGGCATTATTGATTCCAGGGAAAACCGAAAGTTATAAAAGAATAAAACTGTAAATCATCATAACTACATGGCACAGTTATGAGTATTATTTATATAATCATAACATTACAAATATTCAATGTGAACTTAACAAAAAATTGTGATTTATTTTAGCACCTTGAAAAAAGGGGAGAAGTGGAGCAGGAGTGTAAGAAACCTAAAGTTTTATTTCCACTAAAAGGATGTCAGTCGGTAAAAATCTAAAACTGAAAAATATCAAATAGCAGTAGAAGCATGATATTTAGTAATAAGCTGGTAAATGCAGAACAAACAGCTAAAAGAGTCGCCCTGGGGAGCAGGCGTCAGAGGCGGCTGGTTGGCTTGGGGCAGGGGACCAACCTGTGGACCCGCGATGACCACCACTGTCTCTGCCATTGGAATCCATGGACTCCCGGGGGCTAAGATGGTGTGAGCAGCTCGAAGGGTTTCGGGGCAGCCCTACGGCTCACCAGTGCAGCAGAGACACTTAGGACTGGGGGGTTAGCACAGTGGGATGGCAGGTGCTCGACAGGAACCAGGCAAGTTTGAAACAAGGCAGGGCAAGGGGCGGACGCCACCACTTCCAGGTGTAGCCACATATGTCAGGCTCTGAGACGCGTTGGTCTAACTGGTGACTTGTGCACAGACATGCGTAGGATAAAAGATGAAAGGGCTTCGAGTCAAGACCCAGTGTGGAATAGTAATAAAATCTTTCATTTGCTTAGGAAGTTAGTTTACCAGTGTTTACAGACGATTCCCGGCTTACGGTGGTTCGACTTATGACTCTTTGAGTTTATGATGGTGCAAACGTGATAGGCGTTCAGTAGAACCCATACTTCAGATTTTGAATTGTGACCTTTTCCCAGGCTGCAATGCAGAATGCGATGCTCTCTCGCGATGCTGGGCTGCAGCTCGCAGGCAGGCACCCGAGGGCCGACCACCGATGCTTTACCGTGAACTCTGATGCCAGAGTTCTGGGGTGTTTTGTGTTTTGGGGTGTTATGTTCTGAGCACGTTGAAAGCAGGCTAGGCTAAGCTATGATGTTTAGTAAGTTAGGTGTATTAAATGCATTTTCGACTTAGGATATTTTCAATTTACGATAGGTTTACTGGGACGTAATCCCATTATTAAGTCAAGGAGCATCTGTGTGTTCATTATCTCGAGTCGCTCCTTCGACAATTGTATGAGGTAAGAAAGACAGAAATATAGAGGAGAAAAAACTCACAGTGTGGAAAGATACTGTCTTTAAGAATATTTCAGCAACAGGGTTTGAAAGATTTGTTCTTTTATTTCTTCTCCCCGATATATAGATACTATTATTCAGTGACCTTCACCTAAACGGAATTTAGAAGGAATGTGCATTGTGACATTTCACTACTGCCACATCGAGGTTCCGTTTAGGCCTAAGTTATA